AATATTTGAAATTGGAAAACGTTAAAGTGTTTGGGTAAAAAAAGACTGAAGATTAAATTAAAACGGAAATTGTAGTAAACGAATAAACAAAATAACTGCTGATCTAAACAGAAATGAATGATAGCCAGGAGGACGCTGCAAGGATAACAAACTACGACCGTGTAACCGTATAACGACCGCATTGCTTTGGCCAAATACGCCGATATGTGCCATAGTATTAAATACTTAAAGTAGAACGCATACACATGCGATAAAAACTAAGAAACAAATTCAATGATTTCGCGAACGTAGCAATTGTACTCTCTGTTTAAGAAAGGATTCAAAGGACGAGCCAAAAATTGTTGAAATCTCCCTTGGAACGCTTGAGATGTATACCACTAACTTTGACGGGGCCACGATTTGGGGAGCAAGGTGGGTGAGGGAAGACATCTTTCACACGCGCACGCATGCTTTATAATATTCAAAACTATACCATCTTTTCATTATTCTGGATATGTCTGAAATATGATCGCAATCAAATATTAAAAACGGAATATTTATTGCGAAGTTTGTCGTTCGGAAGAAACGTTTGAACTTCTCATTATATATTTCGATCAAATATCTCGACGGACAAGCTGAGGATTTGCCTAGGGTATATATTATTTTACAGGCCTTTCAAGGACATTTCGACGGGTTAGTGATACCCCAAGAATTTAATATATTCCTTAGGCTAAGAAGATGCCTTATTCGCTCTATGAGAAATCTTGGATATTCAAAAGGCATCAGGTCGAAACTGGAAATTTTCTAAGCTCTTTTCAACAAAGATTTTCCTTTTGCATATCCATTCAGTGAAAACAATCGATCCACAATTTTTTAAGCAAGGATACCTTTGTAAATTATTGAAAACTCCATTAGATGGCTCCTTTTTGCTTTTTTCAGTGAAAACATCAAATTTTTAGTTAGTAGTAGAAAATGTTAGCACAAATTGAAATTGAACAAATGCGACGCTTTATTACATGCTTAGCAAATCAGTGGTTTTCGATTGTAATTTTTTTTTTCTCATTTTAAATAAACATTGGAGACTGTACGTTACTTGTAAGTCACTTATTACATTAAAATAAAATTATTGCACTTTTCACTTAATAGTTACGTTTCAAAGTAAATTGTAATCAATTGCTTGAAAAAATGCAAAACTGTGCAAAAAGACATTAATTTCAGTAGATACATAGATAGATAGATAGGTTGAGAGAGAGAGAGAGAGAGAGAGGGAGAGAGAGAGAAGAAAAAGGAAACTCAGTTACAAGCGATGAATGAAAATTGTAAAATTGAGTTATGTTTATCAATATTCTTTCAAGAAAACCGGAAGAGACTAGTTAGTTAGTCGATATATCTACTAAAGCATTTCATTATTTTTATGGGAATATTTCAAATTGCCATAATTTTAGGGATAATAAATTATTCAATTTTATTGCCTACTTTTAAGAGAGATTTTAGTATATATATTTTAAAATCTCAAAATATAAGAAACACTTGGGCATTAAAGCGCTTAGGTAAAGATTTTCAGAAACTTATCTTTGCTATCAATTGATTTTTAATAAGCAGATACCATTGCGTACTTAGGCATTAAAGTGCTTAGGTAAAGATTTTCAAAAATTTATCCTCGCTATCAATTGATTTTTAATAAGCAGATACCATTGCCTTGTATGGTCGTTCGAAACGCTCCGAAAAATGAAAAAAAGCCGGGAAAATGCAATTTGCTTTCTCGGGGTATGCTAAAGCTGTCTGATGCATTTCGGTGACAGAAAGGCAAAATCAAATATCGTATCAAGCTTATTCAAGCATTAAATGCAAATTAGTGCAAACAGACAGTAGGAGAAGAAAAAAACCACATCGCAAAACCCTCCTCTCTCTCTGTCTGACTATGTGTTTGCCACTGTGTCTGTGTGTGTGTGTGTGTGTATGTGTGTGTGTGTGCGTATATGTGTATGCGTGTCTAATGTGGCTATATTGGGGATAGCTTATCGTATTTCGTAATACCCTATATATAGCGAGAATCGAATTGCATAACAACTTTGTACTAACATATGAATACAATCAAACCGCAAGTACAAACAAGCAAATATGTCTGTAGATATATATGCATATACACATACGTGGGTACGTAGGGAAAAAGTGTATTGAAAATATGAAGTAACAAAATAGCAAACAGGAATGAATTGTTTGGGAGAAGGTACAACAATGGCTTAGTTATCAATTTAATGGTGAAAATCTCGCCATGTTCATTACAAGGGAAAATAACGAAGAAAAAATATGGAATAAATTTGAAAGTCGTGAATACGAAATACGGAAATCGCTTGTTGAAAAGCAACGAAATATGAACTTAGGGGAATACACCGCTCACGCGTACATTGTTTAAAGGTTTCCGGCTCCCTTGTTATATCTTTTTTTTCACTTTTTTTTCCTTTTTACTCGCAAACATGTTAAGGTTGAAAAGTTATATGATTTGTAAAATTACAACTGACTTTTTTCTAATTTTTTACATGAATGAACATGAATTTCGAATTGTTGTATAAATTTTTGAAAAGTGACTAAAAGAAAAAGAAAAAAAACGAAATAAAATTAAAGAAAAAGAAAAATAGAGAGAAGAAAAAGCACAATAATTGAATGGAAAACATTGCAAGCGCTAGTTTAATGGAAATCAGGTGCGAAACAATATACACATATACACATATAAAATCGGGTATATCTTCTTTAGTTGGCTTTGTATTTATTACTTCTCTTATTTTCGCATTTCTTCTAATAACTTTAATGATAGCACAATTTTAAGATAAATTATATAAAGAAATGATTTGAATCGTCAATCACTTCTTAAATATTGCTAATAGTAATGCATAACAATGTACCAAAGGCAAGTGAAACGTAAAGAAATAAATTGAGGATTCTGTATACTCCAACACCAATCGGATAAGTGTATAATTTCGAAACTTATTATGTCTTTAAATTGAGTACACTTCTTAAAGGATTTAATTAAAAAAAAAAAAAAAAAAAAAAAAACTAAAAATAAAATATATAAGCAAGGATTATACGTAATATTAATAGGATTAAATTCCCAACCATTTAAAGCTTTTTCAAATATTGTTTTCTTTTCATTTTTTTTTTAAATATACACTTTTAAGGTTTAGATTTACACACACACACACACACACACACGCACACACACACACACACACACACACACGCACATGAAAAGATCCTTAGGGAAGAGAAACAAAGCAAGCGATCAAATCAGGATTAGAATGAATATGTAACGCTTTAATGAAATTCATTGAATTTTAATTATCTATTTATGCATTAATATTTAATGAAGATAATAGTAAGGCTAACAGGACTTTAAATAATTTCCTCTATTATCGGACTTTAAAAATTGATGCGGAAAAATTCAAAAAAAATTTTTTTTTTTTTTTTTTTTTTTTTTTTTTAAATTTTATTATTTTAACAGTTTCGAAAGCTAACGTCTGGTTCGCCGACATCGAAGCGCACATTTATTTGCCTTAATTTGTTGCTGACATCCGCAGTAATGCTTTACAATTTCAGTTGCCCTCGTTGCTTCTTTTTCGGGTAATCATCAGTTCTATTTTTGCTAATTCTTTACATAAAACAAACAAATTATTTGCTTACCTTTGGCCATGTTATGTGCTGTGAACAGTACAGTTCGTGTTTAAGACATTTACATCTCTGTTTAAATTGTAAATAAAAATTTTTCCCTTCACTCAATCCTATTGACTGAGACAGATGCATTCTGCATTTAATTCTGTTATTGACACAGTAATAACAAACAGAGTAAATCCTATAAATATGGCAAATACAACAATTCATCTATGACTGCGTGAAGGGTTAATAAGAAAGAAGAACAAAAAACAGCAAAGGCCGTTTTCCAGGTTGATGTTGAACTTTAAATATAATATATATACATATATATATATATATATATATATATATAAATAATAAATAATTTCATAGTATAAGCGTTATTTGTAGTGACAATGAAAACAAAAGCATTTCAAGTTTAAGAAAATCAATAAACGAATAAATGAGTGAATGAATAAAAAAAAAAAAAAAAAACAAAAAAACTTATGAGAGAAGAAGAATATGAAAATCTTATAAATTCCACAAAAAAAAAAAAATTATGCACTAGGAATTATTAAAGTAGACTTTATTTTGCGTCGTGCGTTGCTTGCTTAAGCCAAATCATTTCGAATTAAGGTTTATCACTTCACCTCAATCCACTTCACTTTTTCTGAATCAAACCAATTGCATGAATGACAATTGCAATACGATATAAGATAAGAAGCGACTGGATAATGATAGAAAGGAAAATTTGAAAATAAAAAGGTTAAACGCTAGCATTAAATATAGATGATATAATAAATACCAATACATAGCAAGATGGAAAGGAAATGTATAGCAAATCTATGAAATTTGAAAACCGAATAAAGATAAAGCATATGATAGATAGTATATAATTTATAATGTGTGCACACTACAAAAAGAATTGTGATCTCGTAGGTTGTCAAGAAAGTCAAGGAACTTGTTTGAATTTTACTTCACTTTAACTTGAATGGATTCCTTAGACTGCGAAGATTTAAACCAAACTCCAAATATGATAATAAGATTACTCTACTTCGGTAAGTGAAAGAAAGCAAATGTGGAGAAGTATGGAATGATATGGAAACATAAGTGAATCTAGCTGACTAGCTGAGGAATTTCGGTCGGAAAAGTTTTTCTACCCAAATGATGATAAAAACCAAGAACAATACACAAGAAAAAACTCCACCAAAAACGATCGGTGTAGAGATAATCCAAAATTTCAATTAAGGACCAAGATGATATTGGGAATTGTCTCAACGTAGGCATGCTTAATAGTTAATGAATTCATTCCAGCGACGGGGTAACGATGAAAAAGTTGGAGAGCCTAGAAAAAGAGATTTGCTTTTCTTGTTTTTATAATAATATCACGATAGGAGTTTTTACACTCGAGATGCTGTAAATGAGCTAAAGAGTATAACAATTGTGGATAATGGCGACAATTTTGTTCTCGATCATTACACAACCTATGACTGTAGTCTTTCGCAGGCTAAACGATTGGTCATTGGTAATTTTCAGTGCAGTTACGACTATAAAAATCCAGAGGTATAAAAATCCCACCATAGACTTGCGAACCAAATGCTTAACCCAAAGCAAAGAAGAGCTTCTAGAAAGAACTTACATTCACTAAGAGTGATGGCATGCATTTAGTGACTGCATCATATTGTCTTATCTGGATCTGGAAAACTATGGCTTAGGATAACCTTTGGCTGTATTTGTTTCGAATAATTAGAACTGAGAAAGCTAGGCAGAGTACAATCAAATTAAAACTTAAGATGACATGGTAAGGAAGCGACGTCTAAAAGTCAAAGAGATGGGAAACTAAATATGAATGAATCAATTGCGAACAGGACCGACATCAACATCACGCATCATGTTAGAATAATAAAAATATTTCTATTTAAATTTATTTTTTCATTAATTTAAGACTTTCGCTTGTACGTCATTCTCTCTTCATTGCTCACTTAGCACTGGCTGATTAACATTTACCATAAAAAAATGTTTCTTTCGTTAGGTTTCGTTCTCGCCCTCCTTACTCTTATTAATCATTGTCTGATAACTTTTTGCAAGTTTCGTCTGCCTGTGAGTTATGTCAAGTCAATTTTATTTTACTTTTGGCAGTCGCAGAGAACTTATATGATAAGGGTGGATTATTTGGCTAAAGGTAGAGAAGTGAATATGTTGAAAAAGTTTAACAATTCACAAGCCCGAAAAGGAAGAAAAACAAAATGGAGCAGAAGAAAACGTAATTAACAAAAGCTTTTTATTATTTGACAAAAGGTCTGGATCTACTTTCGGAAAAATAAGCAACAAACGCTGTTCATCAAGCAAAAGCCTTAAAAATAGCAATAGAAAGAATTTCATTACAAAAAAATTTTGATTAAGCAAACTAATCAAGTATGAAGTCTTTGTGTTGATACATATATATATATATATATATATATATATATATATATATATATATAGATGTGCATGCAGAAGCAAATTAACAGCATTCCTCTTCTATAATGGTATCCTTACGTGGCTATTAGCTATAAATAAGTGGAAAATTGTTCAATTCTTCCTGTGTCTTGATTTCATGAAATTTATGATGTTTACCTATCGAGCTTGACGTTTACGGCTAAACTCTATGTTGTTATGCACCTTTCGATTAGGCTATCGGGTTTAACTTATTTACCATCTTCTAATGTATGCTGCGAGTTTTTCGAAAACAAGTAAATTGCTTACGTGCTTCTCTTCGTTTAATGCCCTACTAGAATCATACAATGGATATGATGAAACAATTATAAACATGTAAAAGTATAACGCGCTACCTATCATTCGCTGCGCGTTCATATCATTATTTGTACTTTGTGTACTTTGGCGTAATAAAAGAAATGAAATGAAACCTTCGCAGTGTGTATCGCAATATGTGAGGGAAATATGAAACTGAAAACGAAACAGTCTAAACTGGCAAAATAGTTAATTATGTCCAACGTACTCTAAGGCATCTTTATAATTATTGTTGCCGCTGTAATTATGTTCGACGTCAAGCCAGTTAAGGTTCCCAAATTAATCAAAAACTGAAAGTAGAGACCAGCTAATAAACTGTTGTTGGCTTTTGCCTTATATACTATTTAGACCGTAAAAGTAAGGTCAACAGGATGACCAAAGAACGTTGCAAAATTTTAATTTCTCTTTAGTTACTTTACGCAAAATACAAAAGAACTAACATCCAAGAGGATATGTTAAATGGTTTACGTAAAATTTTGCAGACAAGTTTTAAAGGTTAAAAGTAAAAATTTATTCATATTCATCAAATGAAAATCAAGTAATATAGCGAATATATATGAAGTAAAGTTAAAGAGCAATTAGCTTAATTAAGAAAAGAATTAATGATGTATACCTTCTATTTTCTATTTCCGTTCATTTATTCATTTATATTTTGCATATTCTTTTAAATAGACTGCTCTCCTTCTTGCAGATAACGGCCAATGCAATATGAAACATTCTCGGAATTATATTATTTCCCCTTATTTAATGTACAATTTAAAATATTTTTTCAACTTCCAGACGTTATTCTTTTGAAGTAATGTTTGTCTGTCTGCTTTGCGAAAAAAAAAAAAAAAAA